ATCCACTGCGCACTCACACCACCAGCCCCTCCACCCCCCCCACCCCCCCCACCCCCCACCAACCAACCCCGGTGCCTGCGGCCTTACCGCCAGCAGCATCTTCTGTGTGTACTTGTTGGGGATGTTCTTTACCATCAGCGTCGTGCGCTTGTCCTCCCCAGCCCGGATCTTGTTCAGGTCCAGGCTGTACAGCTTCTCCTGCAGCCGCCAATGTGCAGAACTCGAGCCAAGTTCAGGGCATCAGGTTGTGGCCACCAGGCAGCAGGGTCGAAGTTGAGGTGTTGCACAACGCAAGGGGCGGGGAGGAGGAAGCGGCACGCAACCATGCCGCAACAGGCGGCCAGCAGCACACCTGCTGCATGCGGCGCTCCGCCTCTGCCACCGGGTCGAGCGGGCGGCGTGCGAGGCGGCCCCCTAGCGGTGGCTCCACGCCGCGCCGCCCACCGCCGCCCAGCAGCCCTGCACCCTGCAGCCCGCCATGCCCGAGCAGCGCCGCTGCCTGCTGTGTCAGTAGCGCCTGCTGCATCGCCGCCTGCAGCGCAGCGTTCTGCACCAGCTGGTTGGGCTGCTGCATCAGCGCCGCCGCATTCACCGCCGCCGCCTGCTGCTGCAGCGCTGCATTCACGGCCGCCTGCTTCTGCAGCAGGTCCTGCAGGCTGCCATGGGAGCCGCCCACCAGCGCAGCGGGCCAGGCGCCCGTGCCCACCGGGCTGCTGCCCAGACTGGCATGGTGCTGGTGGTGGGGCCACATGGAACCTGTGGAGGCGATGCCACGCAGGGCGCTGGAGCCTGCACCTTGGAGCCCCTGGGTCATCGCCAGGAGGTCACCCGTGCTCATGCTGTTGGGAGCAAAGCGGCCGCCGAGCGCCCCACTGCTGCTCTCCAGGCTCATCTCGCTAAAGCTGCGGTTCATGCCCGCCAGCGGGTCAGCGGCTGCCAGCCCTGACAGGAGCTGTGCAGTGGGGTCAAAACTGCCGGCGCCACCGCCACCGCCCTGCTGCGCAGCTGCGGCGGCGGCCGCCTGCTGCTGGTGCATGTGTAAGGCAGCGCCGCCACCGCCCGCCAACAGGTAGTCTAGCTGACTGCTGCTGCCGTGGGTGCCGCCGCCATAGAGCAAGGCGGGGGAGGAGCCAACATTGCGCATGCCGCCGCCATACTGGCTGCCTGGCTGCCCGCCAGATGGCATGGCTGCAAGGTAGTCGTGAGACAGAGAGGTGCTGAGCTGGGCTGCGGCCGCTGATGGCGCTCCAGGGCCCGCCTGTGGCAACACCGCCGCCGCACTTGGGTCCATCACTACCAGCCGGCTAGCCATGTCGGGCGCCTGACTGATGCCCTGCAGCGCCGCAGCTGCAGGCGCACAGGTGGGAGGGAAGAGCAGCGTAGTGGTTAGTGCCTGGTGGATGGTTGTGCCTGGTGCTCTGCTTGGGAGTGCCGGACATGACCTCCAGCACAAGCATGCATGCCCCGCCAACCAGGTCGGCGTGCTGCAAGCTGTGCGCCCACCCGCGTGTCGCGTGTCGTAGAACTCCACCAGACAGCAGTTGGGGCGGCCCAGTGGGTCGTCAGCCACGTCCCGCAGCTCGCCGTACTGGCTGAACAGGTAGAGCAGCTCCTGGCGGCTGCTGCCCGCGTCCAGGCTCGCCACCAGCAGCGTGCCCTGCAGTCCATGCAGACGTCAGGATGAGGAGGCAGGTGCTGGGGGAACGGGAGCGATGAGCAGGGGAAGGCGGCACGACCGCAAGGGAGGAATGATCAGGGGAAAAGACAGCAGGATCACACACGGCGCCAGGCAAAGGCAGCAAGGCAGAGTGGTGTGGCTGCCGCCTTCCCCCACAAGAGAACGGTTGCCCTTATCAGTCGTGGACACAATGTCGGCAACACCCACCTGTGCAGCCTCGCGGTCATCCTTGGGCAGCGAAAAATGCACATCAAGCTGCTGCCCTGCCAGCATCTGCCCTGTGAGCGTGTGCTTGGCCAGCGTGGCGGCACGCGTGTCATAGTAGCTGACCACCACAAAGCCGCGCGCCTTGGCGGCCGTGTACAAGCTGCGCACCTCGCCAAAGGCCTGCAAGCAGCGTGCAGACAGGCGCACAGGCGGTAGGCGTCGGAAAAAGGGCCAGCATCATAAGCGCCAAGAGCGACACGTGAGTGGCCGAGTGGAAACATTCGCCATCGCCAGCCTCTGACAAGACCCACCTCAAAGAGCGTGCGGAGCTCGTCTTCAGGCACACTAGGGTCTACGTTCCGCACAAACAGGGTGCGTGACTGGGAGGTGCCTGCCGGAAGCTGGCCCACCAAGCTGAGGTCTGCCGCCGGGGGTGGCCCTGCGGCAGGCAGCGCGCCACTCGTGGCGTTGGCAGCAGCGCTGCCGCCATGCGCCACGTGCGCTGCCTGTCCTAGGTCTTGCATGCCAAACAGATCCTCATCAGACAGTGCCCTGCCTGACGGCGGGCGGCCATACGGCGGGAGCCGCTGCGACAGCGGCGGGTCGGATGGCAGGCTGGTCTGTGGCTCGTTCTCCTGGATGTCGGGCAGCGAGCTGCGGCTGCCGTGCTGCAGTCCCAGCGAGCCATACAGCTTTTGCAGGTTCTGCTTGAGTGCCGCCGCCTGCTGCTGCTGTTGCTGCTGCGCGGCGGCAGCCGCCGCCGCCGTGCTGCCACTGCTGGCAAACAGTTCGGGCGCGTCTGGGCTGAAGCGCGGGAACAGGCTAGTTTGCTGTGAGGAGGCGGATGCCGTGTCGGGCGCGCCCACCAGAGCCCCTGCCAAAGGCGCTGGAATGTCCTGGCCCTGCGGGCTGCTGCCACTGCTGGCTGACAGCTGCTGCGGGGAGCCACTGGCCGCAACATGGGCATGGTCGGGCGGCGCGCCTGGCCAGCTGGGCGCAGCCTGGCCAGCGGCCGAGGCCTGCGCACTCAGCATGGTGCGGGCGCCTGCAGCACGGGGCGGGCGGGACAACAGGGGCAGCATTTGGGACTGTGCACAGTTCGGCGCGTTGCTGGGTGGAGTGTGAATGGGGTCCACGGGGCCGATTGTGGGGTGCTGGTGCGGCCGGCAGCGTACCGGCTCGGTGGCAGCCGGCTGCACCAGCACCCCCTCGCGCAAAGCAGCGCGCGCTGCAGCCCGATCGAACAAACACCCCAGGAAGCTGCCAACAGTCGGGCGAGCAGAGCCCCGAGGGAACAAGGAGACGGGGGCAGGAGACCAAGCGCGGCAGCACAAGCACCAGCTTGAGGCGACACATCCGCTCAAGGCTCTCTGCCCCGTGTTTCAGCCACCCGCAGCGGCGCACTGGACAGGTGATCGTCAGAAATAAGGGCTGGCTCACCTACCCAGGGAAGCTTCAGGGAGCTGTTGGGACTCGCCAGAAGACGCGGTAAATAATGGAAGTCGAACGGGGAAGAGGCCTAGACCTGCCAAGTGGGGCAGGGAAACCTCTCCCTGTCGTGCTGGTGGAGTGGACTGGATTACACGCGAGTGGATTCCACGGGGCACCGGGAATATGAGCCAATCACCGCGCCGTATGTTCGCGCGAGTGTGTACCTTCTCGCAGTACACCAGTCGCTCGCATATCTTCTTTCTACTCAGGGCTTTGTGCCTCTGAATCCACGCTGCTGTATGGAACCTGCTGGAGCCCCGCCTGGCGCCTGGGAGGCCCGCCACCACGTAAGCTATCCGAAGCATTTGCATTTGTCGGCACATTGTTCCGCATGAAAGGCCATGAAGGCCGGCCAATACCGCTGCCTGCAGACGCCGACGACGCTGCCCCAGCGGGTGCCGCCTACAAGCGGGTGCCGCCTCCAGCGGTTTTGTGAACGTCGCAGGACCGAGGGTTTGGATCATCCGCTGGCCGCTGTAGCCACCCCTTTGGTGGCAGTCAATCGCACACAAGCAGCAAATGCCGCGCTGGCTCGCTTTACGGTTTTGCCGCGCATGCTGTTGCCCGACTTGGCAGTCACGGACCAAAAGCTGCCCGTATCTGCAACCATCATCACCAGCGATGCGAAAAAGCTGTCCATATGCTGCAACCATCATCAATCACGTGCAGTTGATCAAACGGGTGAACTCCTAATATGATAAACAGTTATTGGTGATGGAGCACTTGTCCCACAAGTGCTCCCTCCTCAGTGCTGCTGCATCGCAATCATCCTCGTGCGCCTGCGCTCGCAGAGGACATCCCCTTCAGGACAGCAAACGCCGCAGGAGAGGCGGCATGCCTCCCGCATATACTTGGAGTTGGCGGTGCACTGCACGGCATGGCATCAACCTCAGGCTTTGGCTTGCACTGAGGCATCTCCCACATACAAAGGGAGCTGTAATAGGCGGGGACCCCGCTCGCCACCAAAGCCTTTCCTCAGTGCCTGCTCCATACCGACCTCTCCATCCTCTGCCCACTCAGCGCATGCATTGTTGCCGTCCTTGCACACTGGTCTGGGCACTTCCTGTGTGGCCTGCACGCAAACAGACAGGCGGCCAAACAGGCGTATTAGATGCTTACCAAATCTGAGTCCCACAAAATCACTGCTAACGGACCATTCACTGCTGCTGCTGCAGCCTCACCTGCTTCTGTGCCAGCAGCCGCTCAGCTCGCTCCAGACTAGCCCCGCTGGTGGCCAGCGGGTGGTTTGGATAGGGGCCGCCAAACGGCTTTGCGTGGATCCATTTCACGGCAGTCCATTTCGTGCCTTTCATTACCGGGCATCCTGCATGCAAACAACATGTGCCAGTCTGCAGGCAGGTCTCCGGCGGCGTACAACTACACACACCACCACCACCACCACCACACCTGTGTGCATTGACCATTTGTCCTGCCGCATGCTGCCGGGCTTGGCGTCCCAGAACATTACTGCAGCAGAACGGAGGCAAAGAGGGGAGGGAAGTTGGGAGTCAAGGCAACGTACTGCAATGCCAGCACTACCTGCCTTTTCGCCTGTCCTGTCAGAGCAGATGGCATGGCAGGCACCATGCGCCGCTGCAGACGCACTCGCGTTCCCCTTGCGTGCCAACGCAGCCACGCCATCCTTGGCGCAGTTGGAAAACGCCTTGCCCGCCGTCTGCTTCTCCTTGTCCAGCCAGCGAGAGTGGGGGAAAGCAGTCTCGCCGCCCTCCTCCGCATCTGCACAACAGGGTTGTGGCCATGAAAGGAAGCTGCTGGGCCTGGGCATGACTGTCCACTGGCTGTGTCCAGGCTGCCTCCCCCTGCTCACCGCTCAGATAGATCAGCACTGTGGCCACCCTCACACTCCCGCCTCCCAGGCCGTCGGGGTTCTCATCCAGGTCTAGGTCGTCCCAGTGGGCGCCGTACTGCGATTCGCAGGAAACCGCAAAGAGCAGAGAAGTGGAGAGTCGCCACGCGCGCACGCGCCTCTGGACGGCAATGGGAGCTTAGGGTAACCGCAAGATGCTCACCGTCTGATTGTTTTGGTACCTGCAAGGAACAGCAGCAAGCAGAGCGCCGCGTTTTTGGCAGCTACTTTTGGCATGGCGTGTTTGCATGGAGGGGTGCAGGCCAATGGAGTCGATCCGCACCTGAGTACTTGCATGTCCTCTGCAAGCAGGGATTGGAACATGTCAGCCACAAGCAGCTTGTGCGTACATGGAACCTCTTGCCCTGGAGAACCCCACCTGCATTCTCTACTGGCAGGTGCGTCCAGTTGGCCACCCGGTGCTCGATGGCATAGACGACTTCATCCTGGGCGCGGGTCAGGAAGGTGCCCCAGGATGTGCGGATGGGGTCGTCGCTGATGCTGCCATCCATGTTGACAACCGTGCTCTTTTGCACATAGGGCCGCGCGATTTGAATGATATGATCGGACTCTGCTGGGGACAAGAAGTGATGATACAAGTATGCCCGTGGTTTCCAGGAAAGCAACTCAATCCAGGGCTGCATGGGGGCAAGCAGGCGCAGGTGTGTCGCTCCTTAAGCTTGGCAAACTGCAAGGCTCTAGCTCAATCCTGGGCTGCATGGGGCTGCGGCAAAACCAGGCGCAGGTGCGTCACTACAGTGGTTGGCAAACTGCATGGCTCTTCGACTTATGGCCGCAATCATCACATCCTGTAGCTCGACTTGCCGTGCTGGACGAGTCGCCCTGACTGCCGGCATCGGCCTTGAACCGCGCGGCGCCGGCGACGGCACCAGCCGCCGTGACGCACACCGCCAGGCACGCTGCAAGCCGCAGACCCGGCGCGTTCATCCCTTGGTGTGATGATGAACACCACCAGCCCTTCGGTTGGAAGCAGGGCGGCACGCAGCAAAGGTGCTGTAGCTGCCCGACAGGAATGGCGTCTTGCGTGTTGGTGTTGCGGCGGCGTTCAGATTCAGCCTGGGCCCACAAGTGTCCCAAGTGTCAGAAGGGACCGGTGTAGCATCCTCTCGTGCCGACCTGGCGGGCGCCGGCGGTGGCACAAGTGCTTTCAGCCCCCATTTTTAGAGACCGATGCATGTCATGACTGTAAACTGGAATGAGAGCAATCAGAAAGCGGGCATCCAGCGGACATCCTGCCCATGAGCCTTTGATGTTTGGGCAGCCGCAATTGTGCAGCTTGCTGCGGCCACAGGTTGACCAGCTAGTCTACCAGCACGAGGTAATCACGACGATATGGACTCAATTTCACATGCTTCCACGTCGAAAGAAATTGGGACGGGGGCGCTCATGCGGCAGGCATGGCCGATTCAGTAGCCTTTGGCTGGTTCAGCAGGCTTAGGCTCCCCCTCTGCCGGCTTTGCGTCTGCAGTAGTTGTTTCAGCTGGCTTGCTCTCAGCTGGTTTGTTGGCATCCGCAGCCGGCTCGGTTTCAGCGGCTTCATCTCACATTGCCAAGCTCCAAGTGCTTCGTGGCCTCCTCAAGCTTGCTCTTGGCATCTGTCAACTGCTGCTCCATCGTGGCCAGCGCGACATCAGCAGAGGTGGCCTTGCCGGCTAGCTTTTGCTGCTCGCTTCTTGCTGCATCCGCCTCTTTCTGGGCTGCATCTCTTTCTTGCTGAGCTGCGTCACGTGCTGCTGTTGCCGCGTTGAGCTCGTTCTGCATCAGAGGGATTGCAATGAACGGCCTTGGATGAAATGCAAGCCAGGGATGCATTCCAGAGGGGTCTTGCAGCGCCAACCTTCAGCTTATTGTGCGACTGTTTCAAGGTTGTCAACTCCTTCTCCTCTTTGCCTGGAAATCCAAAGGTTGTCAACTCCTTCTCCTCTTTGCCTGGAAATCCAAAGAAATCTCCTCACAGAGATAAGAAAATTTCCAGGTCAAACCGGCGCCCAGCTGGCACAGCACGCAGCGTGCGTGGCCTCTTCGGCCGCGGATGAAGAGCCATTCCCTGCCCAGAGAAATTGCACGGGTGTTGGTCTGGGAGGTGCTTTGTCTCCGACATTTTGACTCATCGGCCGAATCTCAGGGTTTGGCCCGGAATTATCACTGCAGGCACACCAGGGACGGCAGCCCGAGGGCAGGTGGCACTGCTGTGTTGTGAGGCATCTGCCAAGGCGCCAGAGCCGCCTGCTGCAGGCAACTTGGGAACTCCCTCCTGCCCGCATTGCCGCGCACGGCGCCAGCGGCGGGTGACCCACACCGGACCTGCAGGTGCGTCAGCCGCTCAGCAATGGCGCAATCGATGCGGGGATCCCAACGCAAATAAGGAATCCAGAGGAGAGCTCGGCAACCGGTTGCAGCCACGCAGTACATCAGTACCTGCAGGCAGTGCGTACTCTCTGCAGGCCGAGATTGCTCTCCGACCGGGCCGCCAGCAGTAGCCAGAGGCGGTCGAGTTGGGCTCCCCGGAGCGTTCTTGGTTCGTGCTGTCACTCGGCTGCTTCAGAGCGGGCTTTTAGCTGCAGCCCAAGTTGAACTAAGGATTTGCCGGATCCGGTGTACCCCAGCACTGCGCTGGAGGTGAGGCCTAACAACCAGGCTTCCGGTTTGCCGCCCCTGAGCGGGACAGGGAAGCAAGGGGTCACTTAAAGACAGGGCAGTGTCCACAGGACAGGTGTATACCGTCAGGAGACCATGTCAGAGGTGGCCGCTGGCAGCGCCACTGGCGGCGATCTGGAGCTCCACACTACGATGCGCCTCCAGCGCCTGGGCAGCATCGTGGTCATCCAGCCTTCATGGCGGGGCGAGGTGGCGGGGCCCTCACTGACCTGCGACCTGGAGACGGGCACGCTGGCGCTGGCAGAACACCCAAAGGTGGGGGTGGTGGCCGTTCACAACTCGGGCGATGGCTGGAGGCAGGGAAGGTGGATGTTGGTGTGCGTCACCCATGCTTTCATTGTGGCAAATACCTGCAGGTGGACAAAGGGTACACCGAGGTGTTTGGAGTGCTGGGAATCGCGCGGCTGGAGGCGGGGCCAGCGCTCGTGGTCATCACCGCGGTGGAGGAGGTGGGGTGGGTAATTTCGTCCCCGCCAGTTTGGGTGCAAGGCCTTGCTGAGCCTTTGCTTGCGCAGCGCCACCCAGCCTGTTTCCAACGCAAGCTCCAGTCTGCTGCGGGCAGCGTTCCGAATCAACCTGGCTGCCTGCCTGTGGGGCGTGTGGCTGCAGGCTGCCATGCTGCGGGGCCACCCACTGTACCGTGTGACCGCCGTCGAAGTGCTGGCAGACACCCGGAACGGCAAGTGGAAGTCGAGCGACCACAGGCGTGTCAGCAGCCCGCCCACCTGTGTGCGAGCGTGCCGGGCCATGCTGCTGCGGCCTGGATACTCAGCTCTGCCAAGCTGCTCCTTGCCATGCAGGTTTCTGAAGCTGCTCAAGTCGGGGACAAACCCACAGCGGTATGCCAGCGGCCTGTACTTCGCCTATGGGGGCGATCCGACGCTGAGCCAGCAGCGGTACGAGGCAGTGCAGGCAGATCCACATGCAGCTGGGTTGGCGCCCTGGCAGCGCGCTGCGCCCTCTTTCTTCTGGAACCGTGCGCTGTCACAGCCACTGCTGGGTGAGTGTTGCAGTTCTGCTTGCTTGCTCGCTGTTGGAAGGGGCTGGGCAGTGGGTCGCCGCTGTTCTGGTGGTGCAAGCAGTCGTGGCAGCCCTTCGTTTCATGCCTCAGCTTCGTGGTGGTGTGATTCTGCGCCGTTCCCTCCCTGTACCCTGATTGCAGATGCGGGCATGCACCGCTTCGTGCCCCCCATCTTCCAGGGGTTTGCCGGTCAGATAACAGGTGTCCGACTGGGAGGTGCTGCGCGCACCCACACCGCTACAATCACCCTCCTGGCTCGCCGCTCGCTCAAGCGCGTGGGGTGTCGCCAATGGCGGCGTGGCAGTGACTTGGAAGCTGCGGTGGCAAATTTTGTGGAGAGCGAGCAGCTGATTGTGGTGGATGGTGGCGCGGTCCAGGCGGCGTTTGTGCAGGTTTGTGTGTTTGGCGGCGGGCTGCTGTGCACACTGCTTGCCCGCCTAATTGCCCGCCCTTCCCCTCATCTGCCAGACCCACTTCAACCGGCTGCTCCACGCCCCCCTGCCCATTTAGGTGCGTGGCTCCATCCCCCTGCTGTGGAGCCAGACTCCCTGCCTCAAGTACAAGATCCCCATCCGCATTGCGCCGCCCTCGCGCTCCCAGCCCGTCTTTGCGGGCCACGCTCGTGACCTCATTCAGGGCTACAAGGTGGGAGCATTTCTGATTGCGCGCGATTCTGGACCGTTGCAGAAAAGTATCAGTGTGTTTTGCAGGAGGTCGTCGGCATCAACCTTGCCAACCAAACAGGACGCGAGGGCCGCCTGTCAAAGGCATATGCCGAAGCCGCGGCCGGCTTTGCTGCCACTTCCAGCGGCGGCTTCCGCCTGGAACCGTTTGACTTCCATAAGCAGTGCGGCGCCACCAACTATGCCCGGCTGGGCATCCTGTGGGAGGTGAGGTCCATTGGTTACCCAGCGGGATTTGCCTGGGCCTCTTTAGTCCGCACTCTGCATCTCTTGCAGCGCTTCTCCTCCGCCTTCCATGATGTATCCAACTGCCTTGCAGTCCATTGCGCCCGACTTCCGTCGCTTTGGGTACTGGTTCCGTGACAATGCGGGCACCGCCAGCCAGCAGAGCGGCGTGTTCCGCACCAACTGTATCGACTGCCTGGACCGCACAAACGTGGTGCAGGTGTGCTGGCTGCTGCATGTATGGATGAGCAAGCAGAGTCATGCATGGCAGCCGCTCACGATCTGCTTTTAACGCCCTGCCGCTTGTCGGCCATCTGTCCCCCAATCTCTTGTTCCAATCTCGGCAGGGCATGCTGGGCAAGAAGCAGCTGGAGCACGTGCTGCAGCGCCTGGGCCTGCTGGCTGAGTCGCAGACCTTGCCCCAGGCCTTCCCTGAGGCAGGCAGTGGGGGTGGTTGTTGCCCATTTGCGAGCATTGGTGGAGTTTTGGTGGGGCGACGACCGACCATAGCATCCCACCACCTTGCAGTCATGGAAGACCAGTGACCCCACTCCCGCGCCTCTCTCTGCCCTGCAGCTGGATGGTGCTTTCCGCGTGATGTGGGCTGACCATGGTGACGAAGTTTCACATCAGTATGCAGGTGCGGAGCTGCCAGGCTCTGCGCAGCTCGTGGTATGGTTTCCAGTTTGCGAGCTGGATATGTCCTGTGGCGGTCGCAGGTCCTGTACCTGCTAAGAAGTGGTTCTGCAGGGCCCTCTGCACTGATGCCCTGCACCTTTTCAACCTTCATGCCTTCTCCGCGCCCACCAAGCGCAGGCACGGGCGCCATGAAGAGCGCCTTCACACGCACTGGCAAACGAGACATTTGGGGCTTGTTGGAAGACGGCGCCAAGTCGCTGACGCGGTGGGTGCCAGCAGGAGGTGCACGACCAATGCGCGGTACGCCCTCTCTCATCTAGGTCCACAACCTCTTCGTTCCCATCACCTGCCGCCCCCTGTTTCAGCTACTACCTGAACAACTTTGAGGATGGTCACAAGCAGGACGCACTGGACCTGGTGACCGGCAGCTACGCGGTGGTGCCGGGTGAGGGCGGGGGATGATGATGGCAAGTCTGTATGTTTTGGGTGTTGAGAGGAAAGAAATGCGAGGGACACTGCCCAACAAGCTAAGCAGGAAAGGTGGTTGAATTGGAAGGGCTTCCTGCGGCGGCCACCACCATTTTGATTTCGCTTCCCCATTGGAAATTGCACGACTTCCCGCTGCCCGCAGGCAAGCCATCGCCGTTCCAGCCGCAGGGGTCGCCAGCAGTGCCGCTGTTGGTGGCTGCCGCACTGGCCGTGCTGGCATTTGTGAACCTGCAGTTGCTGGCAGGCGGCGGTGGCGGCGCTAGCGCGCTGCTGCAGGCGGCGCCTGCAACTTTGCTGCAGCAGGTTGCTGCGCCACTGTTACTGGCAGGGGCGATGCTGTTTCTCATGATGAAGAAGGGGAGCCAGCTGGTGGACAAGCCGCAGCTGACCCCGGAACTGGCAGTGCCCTGGCACTAGGATGCCAGCAGGGCGCAACATGGAGGAGGAGCAGAAGTGCGCCCTGCGACAATGAGATATGCGTGCATGGCTTGCAGCCACGAGATGGCTTGACTGCACACCGACCGCTATCTCTTTGCCTTTCGAGAGAAGGTTTCAATGCTTTTTCAAGAAGGGTACTGCCAGCCAACGCTGTGCATCTAAGGACAAAAAATGTGTGTGTTTTGCCGCGTTAAACAGCCTGCTGTAGGAGTGCAATTGTTACACCATCGAAGGTTTTGAGCTTTTTCTATTGAGAAGGGCAAAACCAAACCTGCAGCAGACGTGCGAACAAATGCACCAGATGTCATTACGTTTCAACCAATTACCTTTCAACCAACCAACCCAAAGAAAACAATGACCAAGCGAGAGACACAGCAACCAGCTGCAACAGCACTCACCTAGCAGCAAAAGCAGGGAAGCCAAGAATGAGACTGGCAGCCTAGCTACTGCGCTTTCTTGACGATACTCTCGACAGTGAACCTGCAGCAGCCGAGGCCAAACAGTATTAGCTTGATGATCGAATCATTAGCCCATGCCCAGGGCATGCAAACAATTGCAAGCACAGTCGTGTTTCAGCGCCAGCGTTTCCCTGCCGTGAACAGCGGCCACTCCCGTGCCAGATGCCAGCTAGCTCTAGCTACCCGTCACTGCTGCTCCTTGATCTGGTGCAGCTATCTATGCCCTCTGCCACAGGCTGCCCTACTGACCGCTCTCCCCTCTGCCACAAGGCTGCCCTACTGACCGCTTTGTCTTGCTGAGCGGGCGGCTTGGCGCGAGTTCCACCGTGTCGCCCACTTGGCAAATTTGCTGCTCGTCGTGCGCCTGGTAGCGAGTTGTTTTGCGGATGCGCTTCTGGTAGACGGGATGAACTTGAAGCGTGGCCACTTCCACCACCGCCGTCTTATTCTGACTGGACACTACCTTGCCCTGCATCGACTGCGCCGCCCGGACATCCAACACTGCGCAGCGAGAGACCGAGGGCCGCTGCTGCACGGCCAGGGCAGTGCCCCGGAAGGAGGTCTGGCCGATGCACTGCAGCATGTTGCGTGCCGCCCCTGATTCAGCCGCTGCTGGGTTGTCAGGTCAGTGTAGGCGTTCGTAGAGCGGCAATGCGTGGCCCGGAATGCCGAATTGTCGTGCCTGCTGCGCCCGTGCTGAGACTGGGTCTAGCCCGGCTGGTGCTCGAACTCGATGGCGCTTGTATTCTCTCCATAGGCAGTGCATAATGCCATAAACGAGGTCCCGCGCGCCTTCCGCGAAAGTTGTTGAATTGAAGGCCTTCGTCTCCTCATACAGGTTGCCGGCAGGCCCAGCCTTGCTGTGGAGCGCCTGGCACACGCACCATGGCGCCGAGAGGAGTCTGCAGAGGCATTCCTCCCTTCCCGGCAGCTGGCGCCGCCATTCTGACCGCCCGCCTGTAGCAGGACGCACGCACCCATCTGGTCTGGCAGCAGTGCTGTCTACCTCCCCCCCCTTCTCGTGCCTTACCCACATGGTGGCGGCGGCGGTCACAGCACAGGACAGCAGCATATGCTGCGTGGTCGCGTGCAGGCGCCCCGGGCGGCGGTAAAATGCGGCATCAAGTGGCTATTAATACCTTGGCTCTGCGCCGGAGCCTTCACGTCCCAAATGGTACATTCGACACGCCAAATTAGGAATGGCAAGAGGGAATTAACTAGATTGGTTCCAGACGCGCCTGTGGCTCTAGGCCCATTTCCGCGAATGGTTGTTCACCAATTCCACTGCCGCAAACAGACTACAAAGAAACACCGGACATACATAATGTTGGCGCCGCAGGTTTTGTGCATGGCAGAATGGGCGCAATTCCTAGGCGCTCAAGTCACAACCAGCTTCAAGGCCTGCTTTATAGCGTTCGTGCCCGTGGCATCGGCGGTGGCGACAGCCAGGGAGGCCGCAGGGGTGCCCAGCCCCTCCAGCTTGACCATGCAGGGCACCTGGCGCAACTGCGTGCCACCCGCACCGCCACACTGGAACACGCACACTGCCGAGAGCGCATCGCCACTGCCGCCGTCCATCGCCGGCAGCACCCTGAAACCCAGTGCGGGCAGCAGCGCTTCGGCGGCGGCTTTGGCTGGCGCTGCGCCGCCCAGCCGCTCCGTCAGCTTGAAGGGCGGCCCCGCCACCTGCTGCCAGCGCTGTGCAAACACCGGCGCCGGCACCTCCACTGGTGGGGGTGCGCAGAACTTGGTAGCCACCAGCGGGAGGTCCAGGCTGCGACTCAGCACCTGCCCTGTGCCAGGTACCGAGTAGCCCAGCTGCACCGCCGGGGTAGCCAGGAAGGGCGCCAAGCACGTCGCCGACAGTGAAACTTGCACCTGCAGGGCATGCGGATTGAGGGCCACAGGAGCATGCGATCAGGTGACGGCAGCCTTTTGAGCTGCAGGCCCAGGGCCAAGGAGCTCTTGGAACAGACAGCCCATGCTGAGCAAGGCGGCCAGCAGGAGCAGGCACGCCAACCCACCTGCTTCTTAGGCTCCAGCTGCTGCGGCACAGGACCCATTTGGAACGCAAAGGCGGGGCTGGGCGGTGCCACCAGCACCACCTGCTGCAGGGCTTCACTGTGCTTGTTGCCAAGGAACAGCACCAGCTGCACCGTGGGCCCCGCCACCTGAGACTTGATGCCAACCTGCACCCAGTGGCAGAACCACAGGCACATGGAAACTTCAGGGTCAGCTGGCTGGCGGCCTGCCACTGGAAACAACCAGGCAGCTTAAAGAGCCCAGGCAGAGGAAAAGTGACGTTCAAGGGCGGGTGTTCCTCTCTTGTTGAGCACGATGCCGCAAGACCCGGCATGCACGCTCGCCAGATGACTGCCAGGGCAACCACCTGCATGTACTGATCCTCGTACAGGATGCCGCTGCTGGCAGTGCACAGCTTGTGGAACCAGGCAGCCACATCCCCAACCGGCTGGATGGGCGCCGGCCCTGCCGCCGCTGCCGCAAAGACATCAGCGCCAAACGGATCGTCGGCTGCCACCATCACGGTGGCCGCCGCAGCAGCAGGAGCTGCTGCAGGGCGCACAACGGCAGCAGGCGGAGGGGTTGGTGCCGCGCGTGCTGGCACGGGCGGAGACGCGACTTCAGGCAACAGCTCAGGTGCGAAGGGATTGGCAGCTGCTGCGGGAGGCTGCTGCGGCGCTGCTGAGCCTGGGCTGCCAAGCGAGGACAGCAGATCCATGACGGTAGCGGGCGCTGTTGCCGCAGCTAACGCAACACCCATAGTTGCATGGGCTCCTGGCTCTGCAGCCGGCGATGCAATTGCCCCTGGGGATGCAGTGCCATTGGCCTTTGGAGGAGTATCACTGAAGTCTGCAGAAGCAGGATATCAGGGAAGGAAGTGTGCCACCAGCCAGAATGTGACAACTTATGGCGGCGCAATAGCATGCTCACCTAGCAGATCCAGCAGGTCTGCTGCATCATTGGCTGCAGCTGTGGCGATGCCAGGCGCTGTGCCGGGCAGGCCGAGCGAGGGCGGCGGCGCCGAGGCCCCTCCTGCTGCCTCATCCTCGGCACCGTCTGGCAGGTTCATCCAGGCCGGCCGCTCCCGAGCCTCGTCGGTGTCCTCGCCCTACAGAGCAGCAGAACCACCACCATGCTCGACGCCACTGAGGGAAGCACTACAGTTATGAAGACAGTGGATGCCACCTTGCCTGCCCTCTTTCATGGATGGGCAGCTTCTGCGCATGCCACGAGGATGAACCTTCCACAACAAACCACCCTCATATACCCATCCCCTATGGAAAACCCACCTCCTTCTCCGCCAGGCGGCGCAGCAGCAGCGAGGTGCGCTTCTCCCACTTGGGCAGCGGCTGCACCGCTGCGGCAGCCACGGCACGCCTTGTGGTGAGCCCTCGATACTCCACTGCACGTTGTGCCAGTTCAGCGTCCAGCGTGGCGGCATACCGCTCCAGTACTGCATCCACTGCTACCTTGAGGGCGGCATTGTCCGGCTCGGCCACCGCAAACTTCTCATACACAGTCAGCAGCAGCGCCTGCAGGTGGCCGCTAGGGCAAATTGGCGATAGAATTGGGCGAAGCGGCAGACCTGGTGCCATTGCTGCGAGCACAGCCACTTTGCCCCAGCTCCTCCAATTTGGCTGTGGTTGCAGCATAATTGGGCTGCCCTCCATGAGATGGCTACCCCCCGTCTTCTGCCCACCTTGGTCTCGGGGCTGGCTGCCACAAAGCGCTCCTGCAGAAGCTTGAACTGCTCCAGCAGCGGCACCTCGCCCGCTGCCGCCAGCCTGGGCCCGTATTCACCGAGAATGTAGCCGGTGCACTTGACAAAGACCTCGTATGAGGCACCCCGCCGCAGTGCCTCGGCACACCGCCGAGCGGCGTACACATGCAGTTGAGGGTTGTTGGTCACCAGCTGCACCACGCTGTGCCAGAGGTCATTGATGGCCGAGTCGCCAGCCCGCTCCATCAGGGTCAGCATGGAATCTACATACCACTCAAGAGAGGGCAGGAAGCTGCGGCGGGGAAAGGGGTGGGCATGGGAAGGACCAGGATGATGCGATAGGGCGCAGGCACGAGGCAGTCAGGCTGCCAGCCAACAGCAGCCAGTTTGGCAGCGAGTAGCAAATGTCAGTAACTGGCACCCTGTGCTCCAGCCCCAGCAACCACCCTTACCGCTCAGCCAGCACTGCCGTCTTGAGCACCAACTCCTCTCGCATGCTGTAGTCGGCCAGCGTGAGGTAAGACAGCAGCTCATCCACAATCTCGGCCTTCAGCACAGGGCATCATCGCGTGCACTTGTGCAAAAATACAGCAATCCGGGCTTGGCCAGGTTCTGGCCGTAAATCGAGGGCTTGGGGGCTAAAACCTTGAGATGCTTGCCAGTCTAGCCGGCTCACCGAATTGGAGGGGGTGCACATGATGAAGAGCAGGTCCAGGGCGCGGCGGCGGATGGACACATCGCCATCACGCAGGCAGGCCAGGATGGTCTTCTGGTGGCGGTTGACTGCAGCGTTGGTTTGGCAATTGCGCGTGGGCAAACGGGAAAGAGCAAGGTAAGCAGGTTAGCTGGCACATGGCAGGGAACGGAGTGTGGTGCCTAAATCCCCAGGCTAAACTTGCTCTGTCCCCCTTGCTCCGCCCCACCCGTATCCACCCAGCAAAGTGTGCAACCTCCATTACTGCAGTGCCAGCTCCTGCCCCACACACCTGTGTCCACCACGGCTGGCACCTCGGCCAGGCGTGCCATGTTCTCCAGTGCCAGGTACTTGAGGTTGGGCTCCCGAACCTGCACAGGGCAGGCAGGGCAGGGCAGCAGCCGAGTGAATGCCACGATCAGGCAAGCGCAGTACAGCGCAGCAAAGCCAGCGGTGGCTGGTGAATACCACAAACATGAGCTGCCTCACCACCCACCGACAGGAACTTGGCCAGCAGTGCCACGCCCATGGCCATCAGCTCCGGCTCCTCCAGACTGATGGCCACTGCCACCGCCTCAAACACGATTGCATGCACCGCATTGTTCTTATTCACATTCTTGACCGGCTCGGAGCCTGCAAAGGGAGTGGAGAAGAAGAGGGCAGCAAGGATGCCCAGTGAGATGGACAATGGTCGCATGCACCGAGCTCTTGCAGGCAGCGCCAGTTGCTTCGTTGTCGGCAGCAGCCGCCTGTTGCAGTGCCTTGGACTGCCTCACCCCCCAAAATGCGCTTCACGATGTCAGCAAGCATGCGCCGCACGGCTGGCTCTTCGGGTGGCGGAAAGTACTGCAGCACGCGCAGGCACTTGACTTGCAGCCAGGTTGATGCCAAGCCATAGTAGGTGTAGTCCTGCACGGGAAACAGAGGGGAACGCGCGTCAGTACAAAAAAGGTGCAGAATACGAATCCTGCAGAAACCATGTCACTTCTGCGCTCACTTGCGACACATCGCGCTGCTTGCACCGCTCCAGGATGCGCACAATGCGCGGCACGCACGCCTCGTAGCCTGGAGTCAAGGAGGGCGGTTGGTGAGCAGGCTGTACAAACCTTCCTCTGTACTCTGTCTCTCGCTCCGAGTCACCAAGCCGGCCAACCGCGTGTTGGCAGCCAAGAAAGGGCGCTTCCTTGGCCGCCTTGCTGCCCCAACACTGGCAGCTCACCCTCGTAGCTGCGCGATGCCACGCCCAGCAGCAGTGTGGACAGTCCCAGCAGCACGCCCATGTCCCGCTCCTCCAGCATGGTGGCCAGCCGCACGCCCCACACCTCGGGCTGCATGATCTCGGCATCAGGCGGTGCCTTGCGCAGCAGGCGCAGCAGGCACAGCGCTGCCTTCTTGCGCACCACGGGGCGGGTGGCGCCATTGGCCAGCACATTCATCACGTCCCCCGTCAGCAGCTGCGAAAACTCAGAGCCGCCCACTGCAGGATGCATAGGCGGAGTGGCGGCAGCTAGGGAAGGCGCTTTGGTGGGTAACACAGGGACAAGGATACATGCCTCTCAATTTTGCCATCGCCATCATACAGCAGCGTAACGGCTGAGATAGGGGCCCTATGGGCCCCTCTGCCTCCCACACATGCCCCGTCCAGCTCGCCATGCAGGCCAGCCCTGACCAGCGACCGCACCGTTTGCAATGAAGTCGAGGGCGAGGCACTGGAAGGCCTCGTTGCGGGAGATGAGGTCATTGCGCACGGAGTTGATCACCAGGCGCAGGAACTCGTCCTTCTGCGGCGACCCAGGGAAGAAGCGGTACAGGAGGGAAGCGCAAAACATTTGAGCAGCGTGCGTGACAGCAGCCAATCCAATGCCACTGCAAGTGGCCGGCAAAGACAGGGTCAAGCGACGCGAGAGGTGCGGCACTGAGGCAGCGATTGGCAGGGGTGAGACAACGATGATGGGGGCGCACCTCGTTGAGAAACACAGAGCAGGCCACGTAGCCCACTTGCTTCTCAGCATACCTGCAGGACACAAGGCGGCAGCCCACAGACACCAGAGGGTGGTTTACAGATTTGCCACGAGCACTGCCAGAAGCAGCCGATCCAAACAGCAGCCGACGCTCCAGCTTCAGGACAACATGCACATGCTTCCCACATGTTGAGCGACACAGCACACGGCCATTTGCTGCAGCTGGCTGGGCTCCCTGGCTACGGTTCAAAGTGTGAAACACAGATACCACCGCACCCCCATCACCAGACAACCACAGTGCGTGCTCTCCACCACGCAGCCAGCGCAGCGCACCCGGACGCAGCGACGAGGTCGCTGGCATTCTTCACTCCAAAGTCGACATCGTAGCCCAGCAGCCGCGTGTACAGCAGTTTCCACATGTATTTGCGCTTGTCGTAAGCTGCATCAGGGTGGGGAGTGCAGGGGAGTCCAGCACAGCGGGAGTCCAGCACGGGCGAGTCCAGCGCTACCCTCTGCCGCCCGCCGCCCCCGCCGCCGGCCACCCAGCTTCCCGCACCCGTCATGGCCTTATCCGAGGTGTATTTCTTCCTGATCTTGCCCAACTCCTTGTCCACCCGCTCCTTCTCCTGCTCCTTGGTGCTGCAGTTGCGGATGTCTTGTATGTAGGCCTGCGGGTGCGATCGCGGTGCAGGGTTGTGTGTGTGACGTCACACTGCGAGCGCTCAGACGCCTTCTGAAACCGCCATGTGCGCCCGATCAGCGTTCCTCACCTTGAGGCCCCTGATGTTCTGTATCCTTGCCATGCTCAAGCTCGTGACTCTTTTTGCAGTCGCTCACGGCTTCCCGAAGCCGGCGTGGGCGCCAGCCTGTTTGACTGGCTGTTTACACGGTGAATAGGGCCCGCAAAGAGTGATCGAAAGGAGGACTGGAAGCAAATATTGCATGATGCTGCGCTGCGCCGAGACATGCGGGCTGTCCCGCCGCCGACCGGCTCGCCGCTCGCAAGACCTCCGCGCTGCACTGTCGCTAAAATGCCAAAGGCCAACAGGGCCCAATTCAGGCTAATCTTAGGCTGGCAGGTTGCTCAGCTTTTTGGTGACGCCAGAGGCGGCGCGGATGGCGGTGACACTGCCCTTGCCGGCCGCCCAGGGCGTGGCTGCAGCTGCGGCAGCAGCGTTGGCCGGGGTGCCCGGGATGTGCGAGTACAGCAGGCTCTCCTCCTGGTCGGCGTTGCTGCGCCGCGCGTTGCGCATCGCCACGGCACCAGCCAGAAGCAGGAGGACGACCAGGGCGGCAGACAGGACGGCGCCCAAGAGCCTGCAGCAGAGCGAACAGCACACCAGTGAAGGTTGGAGACAACCAGGAGCAGCAGTAAGGGATCACAGCCTGCAGCCGCACAAACATTACGCATTTATCAGCCTGCACCAAAACATCTAGCATTGGTATAATGAAGAGATGGTATGATACTGCAGGGAAACCCCCACCTGGCATCAAACTTGAGGCCTGGCTTTGAGTCGATGCGTGGCACTGGGGTGCGGGCTCCAGCGGAGAACGGAGCGACTAGGAGTTCCAACGGCTGGGCTGTCGCTGCCCACCCGGTGCTGCCGTTGCCATTGTCATCCCCACTGCTGCTGGGCACCACAGCAGCGCGGCTGCTGCCGGTCCAGACCGCAAACACGGGCAGGGGGGGCGCTTGCTCCAAGCCAGCAGGGTTAGTGCTGTCAGTCAACTTCACACAGCTGTCAGTCAGCTTCGCTAACGGATCATCAAACCAGTCTTCGTCACCAAAGTAAGACTCTGCCTGGTAAGACTCGTCATCCATTCTGCTCCAGCGGTAGGGAAAGAGGGGGGAGCATGAGAGCACAAATGGTACCGCCAGAAGTTGAATCTGAATTTCTCACTCGTAATTGTAATCCTCATAGTCGCTAGGGCTGTAGTCCACACCATCGCTGCCTTGAAGCTTTCGCCGTTGCATCGTCGGGTTGCCAGGTAGCGGAGGGGGCTCAGGCCAACCGGCGCCATGGCTCAACATGCTTGCACCATCCTGCGTGCCACCTTCCACCTCCTTCCAAACAGGGTCCGTCAGCGGATAGAAGGGGCTGCGCCCGGGATGGTAGCCGTAGGCGGCGGCCCAGGCGGGTGTGGCTGATTCCTGACCAAGTGCCAGGTCGATAGCATCCCGAACCAGGAACAGCAGGTCGGTTAGCAGCAGCTGGCTGCTGGGCAGGAGTTCTGCCTGCTGCATCAGGCCAAAACAGGGACATGTGAGTGGTCAACATTCACTGCAGCATCAGGGTGATGAAGTGTGGGGAGGAAACAGCAGCAAGTTACTATGCTGGCAACCAGACAGTGGGGGTCTGCACCTGAACAATGACGTAGCTGGGTGAAGCAACACCGGCAGCATCCCAGCTGTCCTGCCACAGCGGAGCATCCAAATCCGCCTCCTCCCCATCCAGCCAGCCCTCGGCCTCTGCAATCGAATCACTCGCGTCAGTGTGTGCGGGATCAACCCCAACAGCCTGTCGCAGCTTGCGCCGGCTTGGGCTGGCGCCATGACCGAGCGCCTCGCGAATCCTGGCACGCAGGGCGGCTCGGTCAGCTCTCAGCTGCCGCAGGCGTTCAGCCAGTGCCTGCAAGCGCTCGGCTGCCATCTCGGGGCCCCAGTGGCGTGGCTGCTCCTGCTGCAGCTGCCGAGTTCCGCTGCCAGGACTGGTGGCAGGAGCAGCCACTGCGCTTGCCAGTTGGTCAATCAGACTGTGCCAGTTCACCTCAGCATCCCTGCACCAGGAGCATGGGCATGCAGGGTAAGAGACAGCTGATGAGGGCAGGGCAGGAGGGGCCGCCATGAGGCAGCACACAAGAGGGGTGTAGATCCCTCGCTCGTTCCCCAACCCACTCAGCTGCACGCACAACCAACCACCAGCAAGCACGCACTTGAGCTGGGCGGCAGCAGTGGTGTTGAGGGCAGCCAGGCGCTGGGACAGGCGGTGGCCGCTAGCCTGCACCAGCTGCATGCTGGTGGCCAGGGAGTTGAGCGCCACAGCGCTCATCGCACCCTCCAGCGCCCGTGTGGCGGCCTCTGTCTGGAGCAGTGCAGACTCATTGACGGGAATGCCCAGCGCCTCCTGTCATGACAAGCATGATCAGGTGCACGGTTGGAAAGGGGAAACAATCAGGCAGTGATGGTAGCTAATCCTGGAACCCCCGTTGCTGCGCCCCAAGCCATGTCGAGCCACAAGTCCCGCCTGACCTTGAGGCTGTTGCTGATGGTCTGCTCCACATCCCAAGCCTGCTGCTGCAGCATCTTGGCGCCATACCGTGACAGCAGCGCCACGGCCTGGTTGAGGCTTCTAGAGCGGGAGCGCGTGGCGGCGCTGCTGGCCTTGGCGACGGCGTTATCACCGCCAAGCACCGGGTGCAGGGACGCTTCGACTGCTGGCCACAGGACATCTTGGGCCTGCACGCGGGCGCAAGGAACAGAGCAGAGGGTTGAAATAGCATCGCGACGGTTGGTTGTTGGCGGCGGGCTACGCCACGCGCCAGCGCCGCACCTGCACAACGGCCGCCCAGCCCCCGTCGGCATTAAACAATGATGCGCTGGCTTCTCGCAGCGATGGGAGTACTGTCCGCTGCTGAAGGGAGGCCGCCCATCCAACCTCGAGAACTGTGGAGAGCAAAAGCAGCCCGGCCACACGCGTGACCGCCATTATTGACATTGTTTTAACATAAGCGGATAAAAAACTGGTCTCGAGCCAAAAAAGAAGGCCCCTCGGCGATTCTCCTCCGGGGATGCTGCTTTCTTCCCTCAACTTTCTTCCTTCCGAGCCTTCGGTTGACCGTGTCGCAGACTCTTCTCGACAAAGCAAAAACGCGACTGTTGCCTGCAGTATTATATGTATTGCGCGTATATTGTCATCAAAGGCCAATATCAATGCGGGGAGGCTCGCACTCACACCGAGGGGCGCGAGGATGCCCGGCCTGGAAGGCTGGGTCTCGTCCGCACGTTGCCCTGTTCCCACCGACCCTCCTCGCACTTGGAGTGGCAAGTCGTTTTTCGGGTAGACCTCGAGTTGAGAGCACCGTTCATCGGGCGCTATCCGCGGAGCCTGCAGCCGCTTGAGCTGGTGCCAGCACGCCAGTGCATGCGAACTGCTCCATGGCAGTGCATTAAGGTCCGATAGACGCAACTGATTCATTTATCGCCCCCTTTACTCGCTCTCTCGCTCGGTCGCTCGCTAGCCTGCGAGTGTGTCTTTGCCCATATGGAAATGGCCCCTGCGGCGGTGAAAGGCCAGGCCATTCGAAGCGCCCTGCCACCGATGTTTATCAAAGGCCACATCCTTCAGGGCTCTGCGGGCAGCGGCTGTGGTACTGCCAGCACGCGACGAAGCGCTCTGCTGGGGGTGCGGCAGGCAGGCAGCTCGCGAACTGCCAGCACCGTGGGGCATTTGGCACTGCCTGGCGGGCTGGCGCCGCCGCCGCCGGCACGGCGATATTTGCTTGGTTGGAGGGTAGCAGGCAGGCAGGTATGGGATGCTTGCATGATTCTCACACTTATATTTCCTGTCAGTAGTGTAGGCTCAGGAACAGTTGCCTCGGTGCGCGTTGCCTGATTTGGCCCGTTTCTCACATGAGGGATGCAGCAATGCAGTGCCACCTGGGAACTGCAGGTGGACAGCGGCCGCTGGCCAATATGCCACCAGCTGTACTGAAGCATTTGCACTGTCTGCCTCAGCACCGGAACACGACGGTGGGGTGCATTTGGCGCGATCCACAGAAGGCAAGCTACCTAGCTGCACGCTCTGACCATCCAGCAGCAGAAGATGGGGCACCTGCAACATCATCCGCATTGAATAAAGATTGGTGGTCGGCGAGGACCGCGGGAAAGGCACCACCCCAGCCAGCAAACAGTCGGGAGAGGCTCTATTGGCTGCATGTGTCCAACTTTGAAAGTTGCCAAGTCGCCGCCGATGCGTGTTGAGCTCAGGTGCGGCACAGGGCGGTGGCGCTGCACCCCCCTGCACTGCACATGCAGCAGCTGGCGCCACTGTGAAAATGCCCCGATGTTCATGTTGTGATTAGAAGTAGCTGGACAGACAGAGTAGATTGTTACCAGGAACTGTCGCATCTGGCGAACAGTGCGCCATGCACCATGTGGGCATTCATGACGAAGCCCCCGCCCACGGCGGTGATCCCACTGCCGGCATGGCAGTGTCTCCCATTCTCAATGTCTCATACGTTGAGACGCGCCAGATGCGCCTTATATGCTATGAGGCCGCAAGCAGATCTGCTGCATTGGCTCCCTGGCTCACGGCGCAGGACAGCACGTCACCTCTCACCGTCAGCCTGCGAGGCTGCTGCAGCGAAGGCTTGCAGCTGTCAGTACCCAGCTGTCAACTGGCACAGGAACGAAGGTTGCGTGGAATGCATGTAACATTCAGACCACAGATATGGATTAACTGGTGGTGTGGACTTGCCGGTCCGGAAAAGCGTCGGCACGCGGCGGCAGCGGGCGGCGGCAGCGGGCGGCGGAGTGCCGCCCAGGTGGACGCCATTTGTGGGCTGTCCATGCTTCCGGAGCGGGCACGGGCCCTGCCCTGCCTGCCTTGTATATTGATTAATCGATGGCGAGCATAATCGGGCGTCTGAGGAGGAGATGGGAGCGGAAAAAGGCCACGGATCCTGGAGGTCGGTCACTGACCAGCCCTCAAAGCCTGCCAGCCAGGGCAGAGGGGTTGGGAGCTGGGGCTATTGTTTTGCTGCCACCATGTCACTCTCCATCGACGAGCCGACCAACAGCCGGCTATTCGTGGTGGCTGGGCGCAGCACAAGCGTGAGTGTGGCTGCCCCGAGCCCCGCCATGATGCCCGCCCTCCCTGAGCCCTCTGCGCTGCTCCCTGCAGGCTGAGTTCCTCCGCAGCGTGTTTGAACAGTTCGGGAACGTGCAGTTCACCAAATACCTCAGGGAAAAGGTGGGGCTGCGCTGATGCCACGGCCTTGACTGCCCTGGGGCGCTGCTGGAGGGGCCAGGGGCCCTGCTGCGGCCTCCATCGCGGCCCCCACAGGCCCCAGGCGCGGATGGGCACCGGTTCTGGGCTATCACGCCCTCACATTGATCGGTGACATGTGGGCTTGCGGTGGGGCCCCAGCCCTGCAGCGTGTGCAGCAGCCTGTCGGCTGCTGCCTGGGGTGCCTGGGGGTGTCAGACAGGGGTCCAGCCGGGCGATGCAGGCCGCCTGGCCTATTGGTTCAGCTCTCCCCCCGAGCCTCGCCCCGCCTTCCCCGTCCCTGCTGCAGGGCGTGGCCTACGTCAAGTATGACAGGGCCTCCTCAGCTGCACTGGCGATAGAAAACCTGCATGAGGTGACGCTGAACGATGGGGAGGGGCCTCGGCTCAAGGTGCTGCTTGCAGACTCGCCCCACACCAGGTGAGGCTGGCTGGGCGGCTGGGGAGGGGGCTGGGCGGTCGGGCTCGGGTGCGAGGGATGCTGCCCTCGCCTCGCCGCCGCTAACCCCGCTGGATAGGCCCAGAGCCGCCGCCGCCCACAGCCACGTGCCGGCCAGCCTCTGGGCCCCAGCAACTGGATGAGCGCATTGCTGCTGGCATAACGCCTCTCCGATCGCCGGAAGCGACGCATGCCTGGTGCAGGACGCTGACTGCGCTGCAGCCACGGCAGGCGCTTGATGAGCTGCCGTCAGACCCAGACAATACTCCGCCACGCTCTCGCCTCTTCATGGTAGTCCCCAAGAGCGCAGAGGGCACTATCATAGAGGTGAGCTGCAGAGCAGACTCGGTCGATTGGCTGGGGATCGGTCAATTGGCTGCTGAGCTGGCTGATTTCACATGGCGTGCCAGCCAGCATAAATGGTTTTGCTGTCGTCTAGCACGGGCCCATGCCTAAAGCACCTGAGGCGCTGCGGTGGGCACTTGCCGCCGCTATTCACACTTGCTCATGCGCGCGCCCGCAACCCAGTGGTCAGCTGCCTACTCCTGTCATTCAACCGTGCTGACAACACATGCCGCGCGTTCCCCTGCACGCAGGCCGAGATGGCTCGGTTTGCGGGCCTGCAGTACTGCAAAACTGACCTCATCGCCACCAAGGGCATCGTGTTTGTCAAGTACAGCAAGTCCTCCTCTGCCTGCCTTGCCATGGAGACGGTGCAGGAAACAGGCATGGTACGTGGAGCTCTCTGCTCTTCTGCTGCTGGCTTGCGGTGTTGCTGCTGCTGGAGTGAAAGTCTTGTGTCGGGTATGTGCGGGTTGTTGGGGACAGTGGTCTGGTTTTAGGAGGCAATGGCTGGGATAGAGTTCTGGAGAGTACGCTGTTGCCGCACCCATGCCTCCTTCTGCCGCCGCTGCTGTGCTGTTTTCCGCCGCTCCGCAGGTTGCTGGCTACAAGGTGAAGGTGATGCTTGCAGAGCCCAAGACTCGGCGTGGTAGCGCTGCCGATGCCGGCTATCCTCTAGGACTGGCGCCACGTGGTGGCGCGCCACTGCCGCAGGGCCTGCTGGCGGGCATGGGAATGCCTTCTCCCTATGCTGCCGCCGCCGCCAACGCATCGCTGCTGTCCTCTCTCAACCCCAGCATCATGAACCAGGGGTGGGTGCCAGCGCAGCCCAGCAGGGTAGCGAGCAGCAGCTGCTTGGCATGCTCACAGCTGTCGTGGACCTCGGTGCAGCAAGCACGCGAATCACTTTTTGTGTGCTATGCTGCCAAGCATCCTTTCTCTTTCTCTTCACCACAGGCTTGGGCTCCCCGAATATGCGCTTTTGCAAGGCACAGCGGGAGCCACCGGCGGCAGCGGCTTCCAGGCGCCTGGTGCTGCGGCCGCTGCTGCAGCCGCTGTGGGGCTTCACGGTATGGGCGGAATGCGTGGCGGCACGCCTCCACTTGACCCTGCTGCCCTTTCTGCCCAAGTCAATCTGGCTGCTGGCTTTGGGCTTGGGGGCCTTGGCAATGGTAAGCTGAACTTGAGCTCCGATGGGGTGGGGCAGGGGGTGAGGGTTCTGGAAAGCTTGTGGGGGCAAGGGGCCGGCACGCCACGTTGGCGACAGTTCTCAATGCTAATGTCTGCCCGCCGTGCATTGCCCCCGCTGCAGGCGTGACTAGCTTTAGCGGCATGAGCAGCCTGAGCGGCGGCAGCAGCAGCAACCTGTTGACGCCGATGGGCCCAGGCGCCTCGAAGTCGCTCAGCAAAACGCGCCTCTTTGTGGTGGTGCACAAGGTGATGCAAGGCTCCGTTCCTGGGGCTGAGGCGGGCTCTCTCATTCAAGTTTTTTATGCATGCGGGTGTTGGAGCTGAAGCAATGTTTCCTCTTCTCTGATACTGCCAAGCTGCTAGCCATTGGGGAGTGATGCTGACACCCCTGCTGCCGCTGTATTGCTGCTTGCAGAGCGTGGGCGATGAAGCCCTGTCCCGTATTTTCCGTGCCTTCCCTGGCATGGAGTATTGCGATCTGAAGAAGGATCGGCTGTCCGGGCGCTCTAAGGGGTACTGTTACGTGTCGTATGCTGCTCCCGAGTCGGCGGCGGCGGCCCAGGCACAGCTGAACGGTGTTGAGTTCCCGCCTGGGTCGGGCTACAAGCTGAAGGTGGGTCTCATGGTGTATGTGAGGCGTGGGGGTGGGGGCATCCAAGCGAGGAGGACGGCATGGAGAAGCCATTCCCAAATCTGAAAGTTTCTCTGCCTCAAGACTTATCCCCCCATGTGCACTGTCTGGAATGCCTCTCTGCCACACTCGCTGCCATGCGTTCTTGGTGCCTGTACATTCCCTAGGCATGCCGATGGTTGCTCATCTCCAAATCTGCTGTGGGGTGCTTGCTTTCCTCTCCGCCTCAATTGCAGGTCATGTTTGCAGAGCCGTTGGGCGCCCGTCCCATGCGGTGCCCTGGAGACAGCCTGCTGCCCGCCGATGCTGATGCTGCCAGCGCCAGCAGCGGTGGCTACCTTTCAGCCGGCCCCACCGCTGCTGCCGCAACCTCTGAAGAGAATGTGGCAGCGGCAGCAGCGGCGGCAGTGGCGGCGGGCATGCACCACAGCTATCTTGCGGCGTCGCCGCAGGAAGGCGCCTGCAGCACCAGCATGCAGCTGCACACGCCAATGACAGGTGCAGATGCCAGCTAATCAGCTTGGAAGGTGGCTGCGGTCGGCGTTGTTTCCGTGCAGGAGCCTGTTGAGGATGCCTTTCTGAGAGCGGTACCCCTTCTTGCCGCCGCCTGGCTGGGCTTGACCTGCTTGCTGCACGCTGTCATCTTCTGTTTGCAGGTGAGTCTACAGCAGGCATGCTGCAGAGCAGCAGCTACACCGTGTCTGGCGAGCCATCCCCCATCTCCCGCAGCGGTGGTGGCGGCGCCATGCACGCTGCTGGCGGCGCCGGCGGCGCGCCCTCGGCCCATTCCTCACCGCTGCGCCCGAGTATGGGCGGCCTGCTGGACGGCTCAGACCTGGCTGCGGTGCAGAGCGGCCTGGCAAACATGGCGTTGCAGGTGCATAGCACTGATGTGACGCCAGGCTGACGCATGCAGGAGCCCGCCAGCTGGCTGGTGTCTGGGTCTGGCAACTCGCTTGGCAATTTTGACAGAGCAGCAGCTGTGGGAGGGTGCATCCCCTGGTACATCACCCAACCCTGCCAACACTGCTTGTGCAGGAGAATGGGCTGCATTCTCCTGCCTCTGGCACCACAGCCATGTCAGGCCCCACAATCAGCGATGGAGCCACAAGCTCCTGGAGGGCGCTCTCGCCCGACCACCTGCAGCAGCAGCAACAACAGGCGGCAGCCGAGGCGGCAGCTGTCATGCAGCAGCACCAGCAACGCCCTGGCTCAGCCTCCATGTCTCCGCTGCAGCATGCCGCGGTGGCAGCGGCACAGCAGGCCAGCAGCGCCTTGGGGTCTGCTGGCGTCAGCCCCATCAAGTCGCTGGGCTTGCAGCACGATGAAACCGTGGTGTACAGCGCGCTCAGCAGGCCGCTGCCAGACTATGCGCTCACCCATGTGTTTTCGCAAGTCGGCCCAGGTGTGTGATGCTCAGTGATCGCCCCCCGGGACGTGACACCAGGGCGTAATTATCCCTGACCCCGCATGTTGCCCTGCTGGTAGGGCAACATGCGACATTCCCTCTGTGTCTGTCATCTGATTCCCTCTGCACAGCACCCCACTCCTCATGTTGTCATGCTGTCCACTTCTGCTCTCCCTGCCGCCATGCCTGCAGTGGAGTTTGTGCGTGTGCTGGCAGATGAGCGGGTGGCCATGGTCAAGTATGTGAGCAGCGAAGGTGCCCGCCTGGCCGTAGGCAACCTCAATGGCACAGAGGTGCTGGGCGAGGTGCTGCACGTCCGCCACTCACCCCCCCTGCCGCTGCATGTGCGCATGACGCCGTGAGTAGGCGGGGGTGGCGCCGCCACTGCATCAGACATCATGCCCCTGCCGGCGCCGGGCATCCCACATAGAACTTAGGAGCGCAGTGCTGCACTTTGCTCGTCGCTGCCGTTGGCTCGACACGGCAGCACTTTGGTGCCACAGCGAAAGTTGTCAGCACCACTTTTGCAGCGTTTAATCCTCCTCAGCACCTCGGCTGCCTGCTTCCGGGCAGCCCCGCCCAATCTGGCAGCCACCCTCTCCTGCAGCCCAGCTTCCCACCCTGTCGCTAGATTTGGCTTCCATGGCATTTGCCGCAGGCAGCAATGTTGGTGCAGCTTTCTGTCTTCTAGGCCCTGCACACTCTTAATGCCTGATGCCTCCTTGGCTGCTTGAACCACTTTCTTTTCTCATTCTCTCTTTTCACCATTAGGATTTCCTGGTTCTTGCTTTTACCACCTCACTGCGTTGGCTAGATCTCTCTGCTGAGTGATTAGGTGGCAGGACTTGACGCGTGACGTGCCACAATGCGGCACCTGTCTCTCTCTTTCTCTTTCGCAATCTGACTAACCGCTGACTTTTCAACGCCGCTCGAGGCATCAACAGACAGTCTCACCTACCATGGTGACGATTATAAAAATGCCGGCCATGTGGGCTTCCTGCTTTGTTCACAGCACCTCCCCGTTTCCTTTGTGCTCCGTCCTTTGCCAATGCTTTGCATCTGCTGCCCTTGACTGCGATAGAGAAGAGCCAATGAACTTGCATGCGGTAGGCAGCGACCCCTAAATTCGTATACTTCCCCTTGACCACAAGCAACCGGCCCGTGTATGTGCCCCATCTCTATGCACAGGCAACAGGGAGAGCTGGTTCCTGGTGGGCCCTTGATGGGAAGGGCAAAAGGAGGGCTTGCGAAATCTGCATATTCCATGGCACGTGCGAAGGGACAGGGCGGGACGCTGATGGCGGCGCCAGCGGCGGCGAAGGACAGGGCGGGACGCTGATGGCGGCGCCAGCGGCGGCGTGACCACGGAGAGATTAAGAGAAGGAAGCGGAACCTTCTTCTCTTCTTCACGGAGTCACCCGTGTTTGGTCATATCTTCTTCTTCTTCCCTCCTCACTGCAAACGCGGGCACTCTATTGCCAAGACCAAAGCTCGCTCGTCGCCCTTGCAAGCTTGCCCCCCCTCTAAGCTCCGACCCGACCCTCCTAAGAGCCGAGTGGTAGAGAGACAAGCAGCCAGCAGCCATGGGCTATGCGGGCAAGTTCAACCTGCCTGCCGCTAACGTTGGGCCAGCCCCTGGGCAACAGGCTGGTCGCACACGCGCGCAGGAGCTCACTCGCAGCAGTGGTTGCACAGGGAGGGCACTCCCTGCCACTGACCCGAGCCATACTGGGGCGGCGGGCGGGCGGCAGCGACGGTGGTGGTGTGAGGGGCAAAGTTTGCGCGTTTTGTGTGTGCGCTTCGCACTGAGCGGTCTTTCGAACATTGTCTTTCCGACGCAGGCTATTACAGCACAACGGCTCGAATCCCTGAGAAGCGGGATTCGTTGCAGAAGGTGACGGCGGAGGTAGAATCCCTCACAGCACTTCAAACAATCGAAAAGGTGTGGGGGCGGCTCAAAGAAACATTTCCAGCACGAGCAGCTGGGCACAGAACCCTCTGTTCATTGCACCATGTGCCCAATGCAGATAACGTACAACGCAGTGGTGAATCCAGGAGATGCCAAGTTCAGGCGATTGGTGAGGGAGGGAACCGGCAGGACACGACCCTCCAGGATGCGGCCGCGCTCACACCGGGGAAACTTGTGCACTCTCGACACACCGTGCCGCTGCAGAAGCTGAGCAACGCCAAGATCAAGGCGGCGATTGTGGACACGGAGGGCGCGCTGGCGACGATGCGTGAGCTGGGGTGGCAGGAGGGCGAGGAAGACGGCGAGGCGGTGCTCAGCCTGAAGGGCGCGGCCACCATGGCGCAGGTTTGTGTGGGAGTGGGGGGCTTCGAAGCTGTACTTGCGCATGACTGAATGGAGGGATGCCAATGTGAGGGGTCCGGCAGTTGAGCAAGCTTGCGCCCAGCTATTAATCCCATATGCCTCTGCTGCCTTCTAGGTGCGAACGATTCAAGAGACTCAGCAGGCGTTCAAGAAGAAGAGTGCCAAGGATCTGATCCAGCGCAGCAAGAGTGCCGCCAGCCTGTCAGGCTCCGAGGAGCAGGAGAGTCTGCGGCAGCAGTTGGAGGCGGATAAGGCGGAGCGGGCGGCTCGTGAACCTGTCACCAAGCCCAGTGTGGCACAGCCGCTGCCGGGGTCAGGTGCAAACATCGCCACGGCCAGGGATGTCGGCATCAACATTGGGTGCGACTGTTGAAACTGCCTGGCAAGCTCGGGAGTAGGGCATGGCGTGCCCGTCAATTGCAATCTGCCCTGAAACGTTGCCCTGAAAACTTGTTAAACTGAAGTCCAACGAGCCTAGGGCTATCTGTGTTTAAGTGATGATCATCATCAACAACCTTTTGTAACCCCCCCCCCTCCCGTAAGAGTGTGCGTGCGTGTGGATGGTGGTGGTGTCTGGGTGTTGGCCGCTTGGGCGGCGCCACGGGACTTACAGTGGCATGTTGTTGCGTTTTAAAATCCTGCCGTTTGGCAGACTGTGTTCTGACAAGAAGTTGATCATTGATCATCTGCCAAGGATCCATATTGTTTGGGCTCACCTTGGTGAGTTTGACTGGTGACTGAAAAGGTGACTGACAAACATGGTCCGGTGCAGCAGTTGGCGTTCCAGCGCCAAATTCCTTAGCTAAGGCGATGCTGTTTGTGCAGTCCCTCGCCTGGGACGTAGCTAGGCTCTGACCTAAACGATCGGCCAGTGATGGAAGGCGCGGAGGTGGAGCTGCAGGTGAGCAAGCAGTTGCCCCGGCATTGCAGAGCACAGCAGTGCACAGCCAGCAGGGGCCGCCAGCGCCAGCCCCCTGCCACCACCGCCCTCTACCGCGGGGCGTTGCTGACGGGGTGTTGCTGCCACGGTTTCTAACTTCCGACTGCACCTTGCAGGCCTCCCCCCCAGACAGCAATGGCACTGCCAACATTGCTGCATTGCCGGCCGGCCCCATCCCTCTTCCCGTCCCCGGGGGTGGCGGTGAGAGGCACATTGCGCACGTGACCGCAGCACCAGCAAGGGATGCACCCGATGAAGTCAATCTCACCTCCACCGATGCAGCCTACGCAGAATACAGGGAAATGACAGACATGCGGGAGCCGTACAGGTGCTGGCAGACATGCAGGGTGGAGGTGATGCCCTGCAGTAGGAACGGGCCGCCTCTGTGCTGCTGCCGTCGTGCGACCAATTTGCCCTCTTGACTGCTTCTTCCCTCCCTTCACGCTATGCTTGCCCCCCCAC